TGTATGGTTTGTTAAGCTGATTAAAATCTCTACTGGGTGAATTGTAGTTGACACTGGGAAACAAAATGCAACATTTCAATGTTGGCCAAGCAACTATAATGAAAACAAAGCAATTAAATTGATAAAGCTAAATTTTATCTTCATTACATTATTTTATCTTTCTTTATATTTTGATTCACATTTTCCTTTTATTTTTTTTATCAATTGAAATATTATTATAATATTGAAACTATCACAAATAAAAAAAAAAGAAAAGCAAATAAAATTTCTATGTATTTGAGCATTTTACAAGTTTGGTTTTCATAAGCAGAATAGAGATCACATGATTTATAATTTGGTTCAAATCATTGGAATAGAGAAAATCACATAGTTTATATATTTGGTTCAAGTCAGAGAGAATAAAAGGTGTTAATGCTTTGTGTTAAAAAATATTTCAAGTTCATTCCTGCATGTGGGTTTAAAATAAAATCACACAATAAAGAAGGGGAAACATGTGTAAGGAAATTCTGAGAAGAAACAGCGAAAAGCTAAATAAACTTGGAGAAAAAAATCAAAATTTGAGGAACAAGCTAAAACTATGACTACTTCTTGCTTCAATAAAAAACGAATAAAACAAAGAATAAAAGCTTGCTTGCTAACAAGCTTGGTTCAGATCAGTAGAATAGAGGTGATAACATGGCTCACATCTTTGCTTCAAGTCAGAGAGAAGGAAGGTAATAACAGGTTTTACAAGCTTGAATCAAATAAGACAAATTGAGGAGAGCATAAAGTTTACAAGTTTGAATCAAAAGCTGCCAAAGGTTGTTCAGGCACATAGTCACTAACCATGATAACTGAGGGTTTAAGTGTGCTGGCCTTGTTCAACTACTGTTCACACCAGAACAAAAATCTTATCTATGGTCTGCTCAGTATAATTGCAACACAAACCAAAGATTGATTCCATTAGTAGAGGAAATACAAATGTGTCTGAGCAAGTATCTGAAGCCAGGATTAGCTAGTGCCCTATCCTAGCAGATGAGCATATTCAGAAATGAACAACCTGTTGTTATTGTTATTATTATTATTATCATCATCATCTTAGGAGCTGACTTTATATGCTTGTCCTTGTTCAGTTTTTAAATCTTTCTTCTTGTCATTTCTCCTTCATTTTCTTTAATGTTAGGCATACAAATGTGAATTGAAGCCAAATGCTTTATACAAGTGTACACATTATCATATTAAGATGTACACCTTTTATTTGTCATTTACATTTATTTATCTTACCACTGTTATTTAAATTTCATTTTGTTCATTGAAGCAAGAAGTAGTCATAGTTTTAGCCTCAAATTTTGATTTTTTTTTTTTTCTCCAAGTTTATTTAGCTTTTCGCTGTTTCTTCTCAGAATTTTTTTGCACATGTTTCCCCTTCCTTATTGTGTGATTTTATTTTTGAACGCCACATGCAGGAATGAACTTGAAATATTTTTTAACACAAAGCATTAACACCTTAATTGGAGAAGTTGTTTTGCACACACACACACAAAAAATAAACTTGTGTTGATGTGAGACATTTGCCCCAAAATACCTTTGCTCATTTATAGTGCAGATCTCAACTTCAAATTTACAGTAAAAAGATAAGGAGTAAGATTTTTATATTTAATTCAAGGACTTTTACCTGATCGATGCTATTTCAGTTGCTGATATCTTCTTTCTCTCTTTTCATTCTTGTCTTAATTTTGTTGCCATCTTTACCAGAATTAGAGATTAAAGCACCAAAAATTTAGATAAAATAGCTGATTCTCCTGGAAATGTTCTTTAAATTTTTATTTTTATTTGAAAAGTGTACTTGCAGCTTGTTTGTTTATATTTTCTACAGAACATACACAAATGCAGACGCACACTATTATATAACATTTTGGAGCATATAAAACAGTCAATGTTTGAAAAATTGACCCTGAAAATCACTCTGATTCTAACATGGTGATTGCCTGACATGGGATCTACAAATCAACCTTAATTGCATCTGGAGCCAGCTATATAAATTTTTTTTATGTTTAATATACTTATCATATTTCATTTTAAAATTTAGGGCACATTTTGTAGGTCAGTGTGACACAATATTTTGTTTAGTTTGATTTGTTTTATGGCACCTCAAATTTTCCAGGTTATTTAACGATAAATTCTGGCATAAAATAAATGGTTTTGTTGTGTACAAGAGTTTAAGAGGTAGACTGTAAACAAGTGCGCCACTTTTGTTTTCTGAAGGTTTACTCCTTTAAACAGGGACACAACATATGCATTATATCCTTGCAAACCAAAACCCATAAACCCCACGCATTTTACACTTAGCAAACCATCTCTTTTTGAAACTCTCTAACAATATAATACATTAACTCCTTGTCTCTCTTTCAATCTGTAATAGTAGTTGCTGGCTACAAAAAACAATTAAGTCAGATCCACTGACCCCAGTAACAGATCCAAATAGAAGCTAAAAATAGATTTTCACACACATGCAGAATCATGTGACCAAATATAAATGTTGAACAGGAAATATTAGAATACCAGTTGGGATAAAGAAACTCAAAGGAGTCAGACCATCATGCAACTGGATTGACTGAACTGAAGAGAAG